ATTATCTTCACAAAAAATAATAATAATGAAAAGAAAAGAATAATTACCAAATATTTAAGTATATAATAGGAAAGCAAAGCAAAGTACATTAACGTGAACGAAAGTTATCTATTATGATTGACCTAATAACTAATGTACATACAAAGTATCGAATTTATATACTAAAACAAACAGTAGGAGATATATATATATAAAAAAAAGAAAAATTTATCTCGCAAGGATTTACATAGTTCTTATAGAAACTATTTTCACGCAAAATTACACGAACTAAAGTTTACCAAATTACTTTTACGCAAAATTAAACAGTCTTATAATATTCAGATACGACAAAGTTTACCCAATTTAAAATTTTTGGGTGTAGTGCACGAAATTCGAATTTAGACGTCACTGGACGTGACAATTGCCTATTTATTTTTATATTTTTCATCGTCAACTTTTTCTCCTTTCTCATGTTCATCACCTTGTTTTTCTTCTTCCTTTTGATCTTTCTTTCTCTTCTTCCTTTTTTTTTTATTCACATTCAATTTTTCAATATCATTAACTGTCACTAATTCTTTTTTAATTTATCTTCTACGTATTCTTTCTTCTCGAGAATCTATTTGWTCTAMARGACAAGCACATTCTTTGGATGATCCTAAAGGAAGATTTTGACTAGGAATACTTGTTTTTTTTTTTTAAATAAGTTCGAGTTGAATCAATAGCTATAACAATACACAAAAACAATATAGGCATGAGTAAATTTATTGATTTAACTATTTATAATAACCAGAAAAAATTATTGTTGAAAATACTTACGTGAAGGTAAAAAACCTAATTTTTTCATCACGACAAGCTATGTTTGTACAACCAAATACACAGCAATAGACTTTACTTTTATTTTTTCTTGCTGGGAATTCCGTAACCAAAAAAAATTCTTTATAACAATTTTTTAGTTTAACAATACTAGTTATTTTCAATTGTACTTTCAATAATAAATAAGCAAGTCATAAAATTAAAAATATATATATTTCCACATAAATATTGTGTAGTTTAAGTCAGCTATCAGCAATTTTATTGTTTACTCATAAAACATATGTGAAATTATTTATAAAATTGTAGTACTTTTTATTTTTTATTATTATTTCCTATATAAACAAATTATAACAATATTTGAAGTATATTTGATTAAAAATTATTTAAAAATGTTGATACTGAGTTTGATAGTTTTTATTTTTTGAATCTAATATTGACACACTGTTTCAGTTTCAATAAATGGCATAATGATTTTTACATACTATCAATTGTTTTCTTCAAAAATATGTTAATGCCGTACAGTATTCTATGACGATAAAGTACCTCCTAAAACGGTAGTGTTATTTTTATTTGCCAAAAAATATGGACTGCATTAAAATAAACGGCATGATTTTTTCTTAATTCATTGACCCTTATACTATTTAAAACAACAATTACATTTAAGAAATTGCTTTATGTTATTAATGTACGATAACTTAAACTTTTACAAAAATTAACAAATATTTCATTTTTTGTTTTCTCTATATTTTTTTTCAGAACAGTTTTTTTTAACAGCAATAATACAGAACAATTGTACTTAGCAATATAATGTTAAAAAACAAGTTGCCGTACAGAGTCAAATGATTTTACAGCTATAAAAATCAAATATACGATTAAATTAAGTTAATTATTGATATACATTCAAATTAACAACAATATTTAAACGGCATTACTTTAATTAGTACTTCTTAGTGAAAAAAAATAAACTGAAACTGATGCCGTTTTTCAGATCATTCCCCAGACCCGTAGAAAAAGGTTGATTTTAACCCTCGATTTTTTTCCCTTGTTGCATGATTTTTGCACGGCGTTGCGGAATAATCAATTAGAATAGGTATTTAAATTGTATGAAACCAACGCCGTTCATAATCAAATGATGTAATAGACCCGGGGTTTTGTCAGAAAATCAAAATTTTTTTCCGACTTTGTGGCTTACTATTTCTTAACAGCACTACGTGTTTTCTCATTTTTTTCGATGAATCTATAGGTGGTAAGAATGCCGTACAAAATCATTTGATAAAAAAGCACTCGGTTATTTTGTGCTTTTTAATTCTCACCTGCACTCAGTTGGACAGCTTACAAGTAACAGCATAGTGCTACAAATTATTATTTTATGCCCTTATATTGTCCAATATAGGTTTCCTGCAAGATCATATGACCCATCGATTTTTTAAGTCGGGCCTGTAGCCTCTTTCCTCGTCTTCTTTCCTGCTCATAAGGAGTCCTGAGAAGGACTGGAATGCACCGGAATACCCCCTGGGGTATTGAAGGAGGCATTGTTGACAATACTGCATCATTAGCAGTTGTATTATTGTTTTCTTGATTTATAAAAGGTAATATTTATTTAAAAATGGTAAAGAGAAATGTATTGTACATGGGTGTATAAGTGGACGAGTCAAGGATCGTAATAAGAATGCTAAATTAAATCAGAGGAATACGTTTTTATTCACTGTACCACAGGTAATATATCCTTAATTGATAATTATAAATTACTAATATAAAAAAATGCAATTATGTAAATGTTTTTTACCTCTATTTATGCTATAGAAATCTCTAGTCTTGTGAAAAGTGCAATTTACGATAATAAATTACCATTTACTTTTAATTGGACTCTTTTAATTTAGTTTTTCATCCTTTACCTAACTGCGATTAGGTAAGATGAAATTGAATAGATTTACATAAGAAGTTGACGATAATATCTTGGAAATAATTGTAAAATAATAAAAAATGTTTTCTTATTGCTTTAACGCGTGAGTACAATAGTTACATTCCCGTGACACTAAACTAGGTTTTAAAAACCTAATCCTAGTCACACTAACGCGCTCTAGTGGCAAAAATCTGTCCCGTCATTATCGTAAATTTCTAAAGCATTGCGTTCGTCTTCCTGTTATCTAGGCTCCGTGGGAAACAAGGATATTTGTATGTTTTTACATATATAAATAGAAATAAATAGAAACGATTCGTATACGAATGTCTCGCTACCGTAGAAGTACTTTCTCTTTTCATTATTTCTTGATTATCACACGCGACATCCTCGAAACGAGATATTCAATTTACTCAGGTAGACCAATATACAAATTATGGTAAAAGTAAAAGAGCTACTGCGTCAGTCTAATTATAAACCTGAAAAAAACGCAACCGAAGGTAAATTGTTCTAGAAATTATTTATTAATAAAATTAATTAATTTATTAATTCAATTAGATAAGAACAATGATGTATTTTTTCTTTAATAATTATAACTAAACGACATCATTAATATAATATTGAAAAATAAACTGGTTTAATCTTATCTTTCTTTATTAGCATTTTTATAGATAGCATAGCTTATTAGCATTAGCATTAAACTTCTTTATTAGTATATTACAATAACAAGTAGAAGCAATGTAAAGTGAAAAGGCTTCTTTAAGAAAAAACTAAATCTAGTCTAAATCAGTCTTGGTATCTTATAAATACGCTCAAGCTCGTTTACTCATCTTCAGTTTCAGTAAAGACGCGAAGTATAAAGAAACTTACTTTTAAATAGCATTTTTGTAATTATCCAAACAAAAGCAAAGTAGTATTTTTAAACGAATTAAACAACTTGTACTATTTCTAATTTGTTCAATTCAACATGGAATACATTGCATACTTTATTGTTTCAACAATAATAATTATTATATTATTCTACGTAATTGAATATTTAATAAATAAATTTCGAGAATCTAACATGGTAAGAAAATTTCCAGGCCCTAAAGCTTATCCTCTTATAGGAAATATGCATTTATTTCTTGGTGATTTGACAGGTATATTTTATTTTCATATTTCTAATATATTATACATTTACACCATTTTTATTGAATGAATCTGTTTTAATATTAGATAAAATGAATAAATTAATACAATACTCCGCAACCTATTCTTCGCCTTGGCGACTTTGGATAGGATCAAAATTAGTTCTAGTCTTCGATGATCCTGAAAATATTAAAGTAAGATTTATTTTAAATTTACTGCACTTTTTTTTACAAACGATTAAATCAAATAATATTTTTTTTTATTTCGTATTTAATTATTTCAATTTATTATTTTATTTTTCAGATTATTTTAAAAAGCTCAAAAATTGATGAGAAAAGTTTCCTATATTACTTTATGAAACATTTCTTAGGCGATGGATTATTTACAGCGCCAGGTAAATGATAAGCTCACATGGTTTCTTTTTAATTAATATAAAACAACTACCAAATTCAAAGTATAATTAAGTATGTTTTAAATATTTCTTATAAAGTATTGCTGGTAATAATAGTTTATTTTTTTACGTTTGCATAAAACGTCTACACACCCACGAGTGTAAATAATTATATAAAGATATAACTGTCCCTAATTTTTTACTAATTAATATATAAAAAAAAAATAGAAAAAGAAAAAAATTAAAAAATATTTTCTTATTTGAAGCGTCATTATGGAAAATACATAGAAGAATATTAGATCAAAAATTCAATTCCAAAATGGTTTTATATTATATGAAGTCATTTAATAAGAATTCAAAAAGGCTAGTAAACATTTTACAAACTAGAAACGGAGAGAAGGTAGATATCTCTCATTACGTATATTTATGTACGTTGGACATCATATTTGGTGAGTCTTGGAAACTCCAGAATTTTTAAAATATCAAGATATGTAAAAATCTATAACAAATTACTTTTTTTTTGTACTGACAGATAGCCTATTGGAATCTGATCTAAATTTGCAAAATATCCCAGACTGCAAACTTGATAAATATATGAGAAAGTAATAATCAAAAGAAAATTATTATATTTATAATATAATATAGTATAACTTTATATTTGTCTTCTTATTAAATTTTATTTTTATTCAGTGGGATGGATATGATTATAGAAAGAATGTCAAAATTGTGGTTGTACCCAAATATTATATTTAAGAATTCATCTTTAGGAAAGCGGTTAGATGAACATTTCGCATACATTAATAATATAACAAACGAGGTAAGAATAAAAAAATAACTGTTTGTTCCAAATTTTTTGGTTGTAACTATATAATACAGTTTTAGGAAAAATTATATTTTATTTATACTTCATATATATTTATATATAACTTTTATTCGTTAAGATTATAAGGAAAAAGAAAGAGTCAATACAGGAAGAGAAATTTACCCGTGAAGGAAATGGTCCATATGCGAGTAAGAATAATCATTTTCAAAAATATTCTTTTAGTAATGTATTTATGGATAGTTATCTTTGATATAAATAATAAATAATTTGTTATTATTCCTAAAGATAAAGTAAAAAATACGAGTCCATTTTTCGACGCATTATTTGAATCATTTTACAATACCGGAGAATATTCGGAGGCGAATATTCGTGATGAAATAAACACATTTATTTTTGCTGTAAGTTTTATTTTTTTTAGATTAGATAAGATTTATTTTTATTTATAAATTGTTCTTTACAATTTTTTTATTTTTTAGGGAAGTGATACTTCTGCTGGAACTCTTACATTTTTATTTTTAATACTGCATCGTATCCGGAAGTTCAAGTATATAAAGATAACCATTAAGCATTATCAGATTTATCATAATCTTTTAGAAATCAAATTTATTTTTATACAAAACTTTTATTATTTATTTGTCATTTTTGATTGTAGAATGAAGTTTATAAGGAGCTGTACGATATGTACGGTTCAAGCAATGAGAATGATGATCCAATTACATACGATGATACTAAGAAAATGTATTATTTGGAACGAGTCATTAAAGAAACACTTCGTCTTTTTCCTCCTGTTCCATTTTTTGGACGAACATCATGTAGCGATATAATAGGTATTCATATACATAAAAAATACTATTCTTATTTTTTTCCAGTATTTAAATTAATGTTTTATGTAATAATAATATGTATTTAATTATTATATGAAGTGAACGACAACATTGTAGTACCAAAAAATACTTCAGTATTTTTTTCGATATATTTTATGCACCGAAAGGRTAAATATTGGACGGATCCTTTACGRTTTAATCCTGATCGTTTTCTTCCGGGAAATTATGATCCGAAGTGTTTCATTCCATTTGGTTCTGGGAATCGAGGATGTGTAGGTAAGAGCACATTATTATTCTGACGTTCCGCCACGATTCGCCACCCAAAATTTTTCGCAGTGATTCAAATCCAGTTGCGCGAGACATCATTCCAGTAGTTCACCAAATAACAATAGAAACAATTATAAGTAGTACATATAGAAGAATAATTATTACTCGTAACCCTCGAACATTCGTTCTCTTTATCGAAATAAACTAGTGGAAGGACTGTCCCGTGCAAAGCACAAGTCGGAACCATAGAAACATTCCTTGAAGAATGTTTTCCTGGAAGAATTAATACCGGTTTACACATTAAAATCCGACACTACTCCAAGATTTTCCGTGGCATCAGTAATATTTACTGCTGAACCCCTAACTTCCTTTAACCAACGTTCAAGGGCAATAAAAGAGTAAATAAATGCTAAAGGGTAAATAAATGCTAAAGGAAAAGAGTCACGTCCGAGACTCGCTATGTAACCAACTAAAAGGTGTTAATAGCAATCGATATGTTTCGATTTTCTCGCATGGGCCCACTAATAAAAAAGGGAGATCTCCCCGGGAAATTCCTCCACCTTCGCAAGCCTGTCATAAAACCACCGCCTATAACGCAGGTAGGCAACCCTTACCTGCATCCTGGGAATGACCGTCCCCCTTGCAACCGAATGTTAACCCCCTCAAGTCATAAAACCTTTTCCCGCGACTGAGTGCCGCCAGGCTAGGAGATGCTGGCAAAGGCCACGTAGGCCCAACGAAATGTTACTCTGTAGAACCTTCGAGAATCAAAGAATATTCTAAAATACTTTCGCGTCGAGACAATGTAATTTGCGACATTATGCGCCTGATTGAATATATGTAATTAAGGATACCTTAGGATAAAGAATGTCTTAGGATAAGGTACAAATAATTAATTTCTAGAATTGCGCTAAGTACGTAGCTAATCGAAGGATAATATAATGCAAACGTTCGAGAATAACGAATTCATGGTTGACTAAGTATTAACGAGATGTAAATGAGAATAATTGTAATAAGCATAAGGAAGATGTAACACACGAGTAGTAAGCTACGAGGTTATATGTATATGTAGGGAAATGTTAGATATATAAATGTATTTGTAGTCTATGCAGACAAGAGAATTTTCTCGAACGAGGATGCCTGGGACGCTTGGGCCAGTTAGGATTAAGAGTGGGGGTACCAGAGCTACCCCCTCCACGAAGGATTTTCGGGGGCTATATAAGCCAGAGTTCATCGCCCCCGCGGGCACTTACAGTTCAACTTACGGTTTTCCATTCTCCTACAGTTTGTCACTTGCAGTTTTCACTTTTAACTTATAGTTCCTTTTACAGTCCACACTTATAGTTTTACACTTTCAGTTCTCACTTATAACTTATAGTTTCTCACTTACGGTTTTAACGCATAACTTACCACTTATARWTTATTTCAACATTTATAAATTCAGTTAGTCATTTCGATACTTATAATCTAACTTATAGTTAGGCTTCGATTTATATTTGGACGTTAACTAATAGCTATCAGCTACTCAATATTTAAATAATTAACTTCGGGTCTTTGAGTGTCTCGACCCCGTTGGAAAGAAACCAGCCCAAGCGGAGGCCGTGCAATCTCGGAAGCAACCAGCAACTATACTAAATACTGTAAGTCACAAATCATTTTTATCATCATTTAATTGTTGTTAAACCAGAGCTGCTGTCCTCTAATCTTCCCCCTACTTCAAAACCTTCCTCAATCCACCCTCTTACCGTACGCTTTTTGCCAGATTATATCACTATTCTAAACGAGAAACGAACCAGCCCGGTTAAACTCGGTGAAAGCAGAGTGACCACAACAGGCATTACTATTACTACTTAACTTACTTCGTCCTCTAGGACGTAACATTATGCATTTCTTATTTAGTTTCTAAACTTTTTATTGCCAAAGTACATGCCTTTTTAATATTACTGTTTTAGGTAAATCATTTGCCATGGCACAAGTGAAAACAATAGCTGCTAGTTTATTGAGAAAATTTACTGTTGAAATAGATAATCCAGTATCAGTTGAAAATGTTAGCGTAAAACTTTCCATTACTTTGAAACCAGCTGAAACTATACTTTTGAGATTTATCAGACGATAATATTTATTATTTTTGTCAGTACTATGTTCCAAATAAAACAATTGTAATAATTAATTTTTCTAATAAAAAATAAATTTTAAATACATAACATTTTCAATTTTTATTTAGAATATCAGTATTTGTGTTATTATCTATGAAATATACAATATTACCAATCAGAAAAAAAAACACATTTGAAAATATTACATATTTTAACAAGTTAATCGTAGTTAAATTAATTTTACATTTCTTTTATTTTTCTTTTCTATAAAAAATATTTTATAAATTTTTATCTTGAACACATTGGATCTAACATTCATCAATACACACACTCATGCGCTTATGCATATCAATTGGAAAGGAAAAAAATGCAAACATGCGCGTATACGCTGAACGATTTTTATATATATTTTATTTCAGTTCTACTTTATCTATCATTTGAAAAATACTATTTATTAATTAATTACTTAGTACACAGACTTTCAGGTAAAGGACTTCAGTTTCCTAAAAAGATTTGTCTTCCTAACATAACAAAAATAAAATTTAAAAAAGAATTATGTACTAATATATATAACGATATATAACTAATTCATATATAAATAGAATATTATTTCACCATAATCTAATCCCAATTCATGTTTGATAAACGTCAAACCAAGACTCTGTTAGTTCAGTAAAGTCAGTTAAAGAAAGAAACGGTAACTAATCTAAAATCACAACCAAATATTAGCCCTTATTAGCCCTTATTAGCCAATCATAAAACCTGTTTATTAAAGTCAGTGTTGTTATAAATATCGTTTAAATTGTCTACATCTTGTTTGAATGTAATCGATAAATTGATTTAATCGTGAATCGAATTTTTCGATACTTGAGAATAAGATTAAAATAGATAAGAAAAATTCGGATTTGAACGTCTCGCCAATGAGAATTACACATACATTGTTTCTTTATTATTTCATGTGACATTTTTGAAATGAAATATTTAATTTAGTACGGATCTAGCGCGGGTGGGCCAATTTATAAATTCTATAAAAGTTGTTGAGAATTACTACGTTATTCTAATTACAAACCTGAAAACACGCGGTCCAACTTAAATTGTTCTAAAATATTAAATAAACATTTTAATAAGAAAGAAAGAACTATGTATTTTTTCTCGAATAATTAAAACTAATAAGAACTATTTATATAATAATGCAAAACGATACGTCAAATTTCTTAATATTTCATGAATTTTTTTAGATAGTAAATAAATATAATAGAAGAAGTAAATAATGTAATAGGAATATACATATATAGCTTTACGTAGTAAACGCTAAAAGTATGTATGTAAAAAGTATTACGTATATACGTTTACGTAATAATTTTCTATTAGCACAGTACAGACCCTTTTTTTTTACTTCTTCGAATTTTAATAATTACATGAATGATAAATTGCAAATATTTGCAAACTGGTATTTATAAATGCTTACAATAAATAAATTAATACAAAAAAGTATTAATGTGTTTTTCTCATTTTTTTCATGTTCTCATGTTTTCTCATACGTATTTAAACGTTATAAGAATTATACATTTTTTTATATCATTCATTTTCTCATTTACATTTAAAATTGAAACTCACTTTACGTAAGAAGAGAACATTTCATTGACTGTTCAGAGCATTCATGTTTATTTTATACATAAGTTAGTTACACTCCTTTGGAGAGGGAAGAACCTAAATGGGACTTATTGGCTAATAATAGGAGGGTCCACCTATCAGGATCACCTGAAGGAAAATCTTATGTTTTTGGGAAAGGGAAACAATGCATAAAGAAACGTGATCTACAATATCGGAATGTTATTTCCTTTTATGGTAACGTACGTGCTTAGATATGAATCAGAAACCTTAAAACGGCCCGACACTGTATAAAGGGTTTTAGTCCAGTCAAAATAGCCCTGAAATCGGGTTTTTGAGCTATACGGCTGAAAAAATATGGAAATTATCAGAAAAATGCGCACAAAACTGTGGGCAAAGTAAAAAAGTTCTCAACCACCGGGAAAGGGGTGAAAAACATTAAAAACTACCCCAAAATACGATTTTTGGATTATATGTTGAAAATATCAAAAAAAGTTTCAAATAAAAGTTGTAGAGTATAAAATTTTAGGCCTATCTCTCTCAGACCATTTTTCCCCTAAAACGCACCCTTTCACCCCTACGACGGTTCAAAGTACTCAAAAAATGAAAATTCAATAAAAAATATAAAAATTGGACTTTATTAAGTTTTTGAAGTGAAAACTTCTTTAGAATGGGAGTGATCTGAAAAGTAAATAAACGGAAACGCAGCTATGTAACGGCTGCTATACTGAATAACGAGAGAGAAAGAGACAAAAATATAGGATTGAGCCTGCGAGAGAGAGACGGAATATGGCTATACAGTTTTTCCTATTCTCGGTCTACTCTTTATGATATGCTTCGTAGTTATCGCTCCTGGTTAAATATGTGTGTGTTTGTCTGCGACTGCATACTACAAAGCGTGGACACGTATTCTTTCGATACTCGAAATGTTTGTAGGTAGGAGCGATAGAAGGGTAGAAGGAATAAACAGAGATAAGCACGTAGGTATGCGACAAAAGTATAAGGACTAAACGAACCAACGGACGAAATAAAGAAAGAAGGTGCGTGGTCTGTTTTTATTTTACCAAACGTGTCATATCTTTTCTATTTAAAAATTTTTCTATTTTATTGAAAAATTAGTATTAAATTCTTTATCTTGCAAATATTATA